CGTTCCTGTCTAAAAGCCAGAGCCAGGGTGTGGGTGAGAGCTCAGGGCGTCACCCGCCTTCCCCTGCCGCCTCGGGCCCCTTCAGTGGGGGCCTGTGGTGTCCCGCCGCCCCTGCCTGGCTTGAGGGGAAGACCCCAGAGGCTCCGCGCCAGCCCTCGCCAAGCCCACGCACCCGGAGACCACAGAGGGCCCCTGGCACAAGCTGAGGACGGTGGCCTGCCGCCCTCCTAGGCAAGGCTCAGCGGCGCCTGGGGACTGGCCCCTCGAGGGCCCAACCCTGCCCTGGGGAGTCTGGGCAGGGCCTGGAGCATCCTGGGGACGGCGAGGCCACGGCCGCCCGCGAGAGCACTGGGAAACGGCCCGGGGCCCAGCCCGGCAGGGAGACGGGCTGCTTCAGCAACTCGGGGCCCGCGCCCCGCCCTGTGCCCCCCCGCCCCCCGGAAGTGACCGCTTTAAGCTAACCGAGAACTGCCTGCTCCTTCACCCTGTGGCCATGGACCGCCCAGGAGGCCCGCCAGCTCCTGGATGGAGCACGGACGGGATTGTCCACTCGCCTGGGCCCCACCCTGGCGCTGGCCCCTGTCGGCGCCTACAGACTTCCAGTGGGAGAAGGGTGAGGACGCAGGACAGAAGCTGGACGCCGGGACGGAGCCACTGTGGTGGCGCTGTGGGAGTGGGGGCCTGTCCGCCCGAGACAGCTCAGCAAAACCTCCGGCCAGCAACCCCAGGCACCCCGGAGTCACTGGTGCAAGGTTCCTCAGAGGGAACCAGGCCATGGGCCCTGCACCTCGGGGATCTCATGGTTTGGGGCACTTCTGGCCCCAGGTGCAGGGCAGGGCCGTGTCATACAGGTGCCCTGGGCCGGTCACTCCCCACTGCCAGGCCCAGCCTCCTCGTTGGGGCGCTGAACCCCACCCTGACTCTGGGAGCGGACACCCCTGCACACTTCTCACTCTATCTGCCCCCAGAGGAAATTCAGCTCCCCGTAAGAAGGAGGTGAGTGACCCATGAGGTGAGTGACCCAGAGCCAGTCACGGCAAGGCTTCCTAGGGCCCAAGACACTTTCCCCACTGAGCTCCCAGGAGTCGGCTGGCCCGCCCAGGGGCATGGGCCACGGCCCCGTGCCCACGGAACCCCGAGGGGACGACGGGGAAGCCACCCACTCACCTGCCACGCTCAGTGTCGTGCGTCCAGGGCCCAGGCACCCGGGATCTTTGCTGGCCTCTGGCTTCCAGGACAGGGGCCTGGGGGCCAGGCTGGGGGGCTGGCAGGGCTCCGGGTCGGGCCCTTTTCCGAGCCCAGGGGTGGGGAAGGGGTCCCCAGCTGTTCCTGCAGAAAGAACACAGGGCACCTGGGCTGGGATGCCAGCTGCTCTGCCAGGGATGCTGCCCCGGGGTGTGGGCACGGCCCAGACGCTCGGACACGGCCTCGGCACCAGCTGAAGGAGGCGCGAAATGGATAGACCTGGCCCGCTGGGCGCCCACCTCCGGCCCAGGGCCAGTGGGGCAGGTGTGGCGGGGGTGACGCGGCTCAGCCCCCTGCTGTCTGCCTTCTGGGGTGCCCTTCCCAGCGGCCCTCTCTGCCCCCACCTCCTCGGCCTCCACCCAGGGGTCGGGCTGGCCCCGGTGTCCAAGCACAGGTCATCCCAGGGTCCCCGGCGGGGCCCAGCGGGGAGGGGGCAGCGGCTCGAGGGCGCCGTGTCTGTCCATTGGAAATTGTGTGGCCGCCCGCATGCACACACGGCGCACGGAGGCACGCCACTGAGCCCCAGAAGGCGGCGAGCCCCCCGACTCCCCCAGGGGCC